GGGCACCCACCCTTTTTGGGGTATCGGCGCCGCTGCTAGTAGAATAACTGCTAAATATTGTAGTGTTATTTGCAATCAATACGGTCTTGCGTGCGGACCGCTTTCATAATCGAAAGTCGCGCAGAAACAGGATGTGCTTGTATTGACAACGTTTGTTATGTCATATAGAGGAATGACCGGCCTTCTGTATCGTTATGTCTCCTGAAAATGTATGTTTTACTTTCATCTCTCAGTTGCTAGGTGTCCCTTCTACTGGACGCGATAAGCATCTTACCGTGCTGAAAGCAGTGGTAATCTGAGTTTGGTTTGAAAAGGCTTGGTCTAGCTTTGCATTGACCAAAAAATACGAAGAACCTATGGAAGAGTACTTGTAAACGAGTTTAAGAAAAAAAAAATTTCAGGAAACAAATGGGAACTCTTAAATTAAAATGCTAAAAAAAAAAAAAATTCTTAGAATTTCATAGACCAAGAATAACAACACCGACATCATGCATGATCTGAACATAACATCGAGGAGAATTGCCTCACAAACAGCATCCTGTCCCGAAAGCTGAGCCATTTGAGCGTCGTGTTGGCCTGGAGAGAATGTTGATGGAGGCTACAGTTTCTTGAGAACGACTCAGGGGTAGACCTCTGCTGCAAGGGTTACAAGGCATTGCCTAGGAAAGCACAAAGGGCTGAATACTTTCCTCCATGTGGTGTGACGATGCATTGTCTATGAAAACACACAAGACTGAATACTTTCATGCACGCTGTGACAATGCATTGCCTTTGAAAACACACAAAACTGACGATAATAATAAAGGAGAAAAAGGATAAGAGCATTACGGGGGGGGGAGGAAGGAAGAGGTTGATTGGGGAGGGGTGGGGAGGGTAATGAAGATGTAGATAAAGAAGATGAAAAAGGGAAGGGAGGAGGAAGATCAACATCAGGGATTGATTGGTTGGGGGGGGGGGGGGGGGGGGAGGTTATGAAGATGTAGATAAAGAAGATATAAAAGGGAAGGGAGGAGGAAGATCAACATCAGGGATTGATTGGTGGGGGTAGGGTGATGAAGATGCAGATAAAGAAGATGAAAAGGGGAAGGGAGGAGGAAGATCAACATCAGGGATTGATTGGGGGGGGGGGGGTAATGAAGATGTAGATAAAGAAGATAAAAAAGGGAAGGGAGGAGGAAGATCAACATCACGGATTGATTGGGGGGGGGGGGTAATGAAGATGTAGATAAAGAAGATGAAAAAGGGAAGGGAGGAAGAAGATCAACATGAGGGATTTAAACACAAGATGAACAAGAACTGAAATAAAACAAAGCTCCTAACCTCCATGGCTACGGTCAGCTCTCTGAATGCTTTCCTGGTCGATGGTGATGTTTAACTAATAGAATTCTAAGCCTGTACGCAATTAAAAGCTTTTCTCCAGAATAACATAGTCTTCTCTGATGTGGCATTGTTGAGGTTTATCCGTAACGGGCGACTTTGGGACCACGCCCCTTCCATAACCCCCGCCCGATTGCGGGCACAGCCTGCTCTGTAATTAGAAAAAGGACTATTGATGCGGATAGCAGCCCAAATGGGGCCAACGGCCATTGCTTTGTTTGGTCTGACTACAGGGGACCGGTTAGTCAAACAGTGGGTGAAGCCGGTCACAGGCTCTTGGAAACTCCAGAGTTCAGGGAGATGTACACGAGGTGAGCTCCTGGACTGGTCAAACAGAAGGATGGGATTACAAGTACCATACACACGTTGAAGTATATTGATTGGCACTCATAGTAGTTGCCTACTTCTTTCTATAAATAAACTTCTTTCTATGAGTGCCGATCAATACATTGTCTGATTATTATAGATCGAAGCAGAGCGTTGTGAGGGCATACTAGACAACAAATGTTATTAATATGGGTGACTGCAGTCAAACTAATACCAAGAAATTAATAGAGTAAACTGTGACTAAAGCTTAACGGACTGGGGAAACACAACAACGTGCACACAACACACAAATCGACGGGTTGACCGGGGCCTTTCTCGGCATGAACTAAGCAGCAATAACAAAGGGGAGAGTACTCCAGCCACCAGCGCCCTCCAGTGGGTCACGTGAGAAACTATAAAAAGATAATGTGGAATAAAGAAAATGAAATAAAACAATTGTCTTAAAGGTAATAATGATAATATGTGATAAAAATAGGAATAAAGAAACGTAGCAGCAATATAAATGTTAATGATCCATAACTGAAAAAAATTTAAATAATTTTACATAAGGGTTTTCCAGGCAACCAGCATGCAGATTAGGGTCCAGACACTGCGGTTGCTATGGTTTGTCCTGCACTGGACATGGGCGATCACCATCTATAGACTGATGCAGGAAGCTCCGATTGTTTGTCCATCCTGGACTTTGGTCACGATCAGGAAGTTTGCGTGTATATTCGCTTTACAGAACTGGCTTATTTGCAGACTTTTTGTTTCTTGCCTCTCAGGTAGATACACTCCCTTTAAAGAAAACTTCCCGAATGTGTTGTTTCCTACAATATGCGTGGTAATGGTATATCTATATCCGCTTTATGTTGCTGTTGACGCCTCCGTCCTTTTAAACCCCCAGTAGAGCATAGGGACGCAACCAACTCATGCCAAGTCGTTCTATCCTTCGCTATCGCGTGCAACTCTCTCCCCGTGTCCTCGCCATCTTGTAGACTTTACTCCCTATCTCCCTCCACCAACTTCACTCTCTAGCTGCCTTCACCATGTGTTGTTTTTTTGGTGTGTCTTCTTTTCTTTTCATGCCCCTGTGTGTTCCAGTGCAAAGACATTCTAGTTATATTGTTCTCAAGTTTTCTCAGCGAAGGTCCTGTCCAACGCCAGCATCTTTTCCTCACATCTTAGTACACTGGAACATGTTTAGTTTACTCCCAAAGCTCTACATTAGTGATTCTATTACACCATTTAATATTCTCTACCTGCGCCTGCACCAGTCAGTTAATATTAATAGTTTATTAGTAATTGCCGTAGTTGTTCTCCATGTTTCCGCTCCATACTTTCTTCTTTTTCTTCGCGTTCGCCGGCTGTAAACTCCGGCGGAAAGTTCTGGTTGTTCGTCCACTTCTGGACTGCAGTCCTGTTTCGGAACCTGTGTGTTGCCTGAGCATCCGTTTGATAGATCTGACTAATTTATATGCAGACTGTTTGTTCCTTGACTCTCAGGCAGATGCACTCCGACTTCAAAGGAAGCTCCCAGTTGACTCTTACGACATGCTTTTGGGGAGACAGTGGGTTTATTCTTGTTTTTCCCTATAATAGGTCACGGGAACACACACGGGGACCGCTCCATACAACAGTACTTATTTGACATTACAATTAAAAATGTAACTTTAATATTAGTTTTTACCTCCAAGAATTCTCACGTGCTATAAAAGCTTCTTTTGCTCTTTGCTTGTTGATGCCTAGGCATTCACAGTTGATCTCCACTGCTGCTTTTCTACCTGTGGTTTCCCGTGTCATTTTGTACAACCATCTTTCCCTTTCCACTGTATTTATCTAGGTTTCCTTAGGTACTCGTGTGTCACGAGTTAATCTGCAAACATATCTGAACCGTGCCCGTCTTCTCTCTTCCTTTGTGAATATATTCCCCGTGATGAACTTTTTGTTTTCCTTCTTTAGTCTTCATGTGTGATCTTGTCTGGTCAAAATGTTCCCAGAATTCCTCTTAGACATTGAACAGTCGAGTACATAGCAAATCACTTGGCGGCCCGCGGACCAAATTTGGCATGAAGAAGTCTAGCAAGGGGCCCTCTGATGGTTGCTAGTTGTACTGTATTTATGGTCCCAGTTTTTAACATTTTGGCCCGTGATGAATAGCCCAGGTCTAGTATATAGTTCCACGGTCATGTTCAAACACCTACTGTTGTAAAAGTTAGTCACCCTTGTCCGCGCTTTTAGGCTATTGGGCTACACCTGTATTTTATAGACCAATGGGCACTCGGTGGGTGATGTGGTCAGCATTACGCCGTCCGCCTTTACTTCCTAAAGATATACCCGATACCCACTCAAGGCAGCATCCATTAGGGAACCAAGGTAATTTTCTCAAAGAAGTCTGGCTCGGCCAGGACCCCGTAACCACCACCGTCTTATCCGCTGGCGAGCATCTAGCCGCTACACCACGCTGGCTCCCTACCCACTGTTGTATAATAGAATCATCGTTTATCTTCTTCTTCTTCGCGTTCACCAGCTGTACACTCTGGCAGAAAGTTCTGGTTGCTCGTCCACTACTGAACTGCAGTCCTGCTCCAGAACCTGAATGTTGCGTGTGCATCAGTTTTACAGATCTCATTCTCTTGAATACAGACTGTTGGTTCCTTGCCTCTCCGGCAGATGCACTACGACTTCAAAGGAAGCTCCCCAATTAGTCGACACTTACGACATGCTTTTGGGGAGGCAGTACGTGTTATTTCTTTACTGTCAGCGACGTTTGTTTGCCCATAACGAAGAGAATATTGGCCCACTGAGTCAATACTGTACTCACAGTTGTATGCAATGCCTTCTTCTTTATTTACCGACTGTAAGCTCTGGCGGAAAGTCCTGACTGGTCGTCTATTTGGAGTTTGGCATTGTACCAGGTCCTTAGTTTTGCATGTACATCCGTTGTACTGGCTTATTTGTGTGCAATTGGTTGTTCACAGGAATTCCGACTTCGAAGGAAGTCCCAAATGAGTCGACTGTTACGACATGCTTATTAGGGAAGCAGTAGGTCTATTCTTGTTTTCCTTACATTGAGGCTACGGACCCACACGGGGGTTGTCTAGAACTACAAGGGTTATCCTGAAAACAGTCAGGTTTATCACACGAACTTGTTTGTCAGTGTAAATCAGAAATCGAACACACACACACACACGCACGCACATACACACACACACACGCACACACACACACACACAGAGAGAGAGAGAGAGAGAGAGAGAGAGAGAGAGAGAGACGAAGAAGAAGACGCTTAAAGACACCTGCTTATCTATCCCCAGTAGCAGCGAAGATCAAGAGCCCGGCCAGCCAGGTGGTCAGTCCGGCCTACATGAGTGGCTACAGCCAGATCACACCTGCCGGCCAAGGCTATTATCCAGGTACGTTGGAGAGTATACAAATGTCATGTCTGTGCCGTCTTCACAATGAAGGTTCGCTACAGTGTACCCACGACCGGCTCTAGCTGACGGGTCATGCTGCGAACGTCAACGGGTCGGGCTAATGGTGCGTTAAAGCAACGGTTCACAAACAAGAACTAAACAATTGTCGACAGTGGCGAGGGAAGACAACTTAAATTTTAACTGTTAAGTATCTACATGCCTTCTTTAATAATTTCACAATTTTTAGCCGATTTTTTCTTAATTATTGCCACGACACCCCTGGCATACGTTCACGCTACCCCGGGGTACCTCACCACCCAGTTTGAGAACCGCTCAACGCATCGTTAGCCTGACCCGATGACGTCAGCTGGAGCAGGTCGTGGTGTACCATTGATATATTTGGCAATGTTATTTTATGTTATGTTTCACAATCAACGTCTTTGTTCACTCGGCATCCACACAGCCACTCTAAGCTATCTCTATTGATTGTTCCCACAAGGATGACATAGATGTGCTTCACCATGCTTAATTCATCGGTCACACAGTCGTGTTAGCGTCAGAGATTCGCCATCGCCCCCCCCCCTCCCCCCCCCCACCCCTCCCTTCTCTGACAATGGCTAGCATAAGTCCCACTGTGCGAAAAGTACGAGAATTAAAAAATAAACTGCCATTGCAGGAGTCGAACCCGGGCATGAAGATCATGCAATTAAATTGAAGAGGGGAATACTGGAAATGTGTCAGGTCAAGCAAGACGAAAACCCCGTTCTCCTCTGTAGGTCATCTTGAATTTGACAAGAACATTGATTTCCATGTGATTTAGCACACACCGAACAGGCGAAGGCCTATAGGTCGTCATCTGCTTGTGGCTGGCACAGATCATGTGGTTGCTGAACGCAGTGTAAGCTACAGAGACAATATTACTGAATTTCAAGAGGTTCGGACAATGTATCTAATGGTACCTTTTATTGTCAGATTGACTCCCTATGTGAGTCTTGTGTCCTTGTTGTGTGGACAATGGGGTGGGGTGGGTTGGGAGGATAATACACCATAATATGAAAGTCATAAAATACGGCTAATTGCTTAGCTTGCTTAAATTAGAGGTGTTGTGCTAAAAGGCAAAAATGTCCGAGACTAGCAAACGAAAAACAGCAAGATGAATAAGCCATAGCATATAATTGGCCCGTTTTGAATGCTGGACGTGTACTGTGCAAGACTAGACAAGATAGACGCGTGCTATGCTAGACAAAACAAGATAGACACGCAATATGCAAGAGAATATAGACTCGTGGCTGACACACTCGTGGTGTGTAAGACAAGACAAGATAGACTCATAGTTTGTAAGACAAGACAAGATAGACTCTTAGTGTGTAAGACAAGACAAGATACACTGGTAGTGTTTAAGACAAGACAGGATAGACTCGTAGTGTGTAAGACAAGATGAGATAGTCTCGTAGTGTGTAGGACACGACAAGATAGACTCGTAGTGTGTAAGACAAGACAAGATAGACTCTTAGTGCGTAAGACAAGACAAGATAGACTCATAGTTTGTAAAACAGAACAAGATAGACTCTTAGTATGTAAGACAAGACGAGATACACTCATAGTGTGCAAGACAGGACAAGACAAAATAGACTCATAGTGTGTATGACAAGACAAGATAGACTCATAGTGTGTAAGACGACAAGATCGACTTGGAGTGTGTAAGACAATACAAGATAGACTCGTAGTGTGTAAGATAAGACACGACAAGAAAGACTCATAGTGTACAAGACAAGACAAGATAGACTCGTAGTGTGTGTATGACAAGACAAGATAAACTCATAGTGTGTAAGACAAGACAAGATAGACTCGTAGAGTGTAAGACAAGACAAGATAGACTTGTAGTGTGTAAGACAAGACAAGATAGACTCGTAGAGTGTAAGATAAGACAAGATAGACTCGTAGTGTGTAAGACAAGACAAGATAGACTCGTAGTGTGTAAGACAACACAAGATAGACTCATAGTGTCTAAGACAACACAAGATAGACTCGTAGTGTGTAAGACAAGATAGACTCGTAGTGTGTAAGACAAGACAAGATAGACTCGTAGTGTGTAAGACAAGACAAGATAGACTCGTAGTGTGTAAGACAAGACAAGATAGACTCGTAGTGCGTAAGACAACACAAGATAGACTCATAGTGTCTAAGACAACACAAGATAGACTCGTAGTGTGTAAGACAAGATAGACTCGTAGTGTGTAAGACAAGACAAGACAAGATAGACTCGTAGTGTGTAAGACAAGACAAGATAGCCTCGTAGTGTGTAAGACAAGACAAAATAGACTCGTAGTGTAATAGACAAGATAAGATAGACTCGTAGTGTGTAAGACAAGACAAGATAGACTCATAGTTTGTAAGACAAGACAAGATACACTCGTAGTGTGCAAGACAAGACAAGATACACTCGTAGTGTGTAAGACAAGACAAGACAAAATAGACTCGTAGTGTGTATGACAAGACAAGATAGACTCATAGTGTGTAAGACAAGACAAGATAGACTCGTAGTGTGTAAGACAATACAAGATAGACTCGTAGTGTGTAAGACAAGACAAGATAGACTTGTAGTGTGTAAGACAAGACAAGATAGACTCGTAGTGTGTAAGACAAGACAAGACAGACTCATAGTGTGTAAGAGAAGACAAGATAGACTCGTAGTGTGTAAGACAAGACAAGATAGACTCGTAGTGTCTAACACAAGACAAGATAGACTGATAGTGTGTAAGACAATACAAGATAGACTCGTTATGTGTAAGACAAGAAAGATAGACACGTAGTGTGTAAGACAAGACAAGATAGACTCTTAGTGTATAAGACAAGACAAGATAGACTTGTAGTGTACAAGACAAGACAAGATAGACTTGTAGTGTACAAGACAAGACAAGATAGACTTGTAGTGTGTGAGACAAGACAAGTTAGACTCGTAGTGTGTAAGACAAGACAAGATACATGTAGTGTGTAAGACAAGACAAGATAGACTCGTAGTGTGTAAGACAAGACAAGATAGACTCGTAGAGTGTAAGACAAGACAAGATAGACTTGTAGTGTGTAAGACAAGACAAGATAGACTCGTAGAGTGTAAGATAAGACAAGATAGACTCGTAGTGTGTAAGACAAGACAAGATAGACTCGTAGTGTGTAAGACAACACAAGATAGACTCATAGTGTCTAAGACAACACAAGATAGACTCGTAGTGTGTAAGACAAGATAGACTCGTAGTGTGTAAGACAATACAAGATAGACTCGTAGTGTGTAAGACAAGACAAGATAGACTCGTAGTGTGTAAGACAAGACAAGATAGACTCGTAGTGCGTAAGACAACACAAGATAGACTCATAGTGTCTAAGACAACACAAGATAGACTCGTAGTGTGTAAGACAAGATAGACTCGTAGTGTGTAAGACAAGACAAGACAAGATAGACTCGTAGTGTGTGTAAGACAAGACAAGATAGCCTCGTAGTGTGTAAGACAAGACAAAATAGACTCGTAGTGTAATAGACAAGATAAGATAGACTCGTAGTGTGTAAGACAAGACAAGATAGACTCATAGTTTGTAAGACAAGACAAGATACACTCGTAGTGTGCAAGACAAGACAAGATACACTCGTAGTGTGTAAGACAAGACAAGACAAAATAGACTCGTAGTGTGTATGACAAGACAAGATAGACTCATAGTGTGTAAGACAAGACAAGATAGACTCGTAGTGTGTGTAAGACAATACAAGATAGACTCGTAGTGTGTAAGACAAGACAAGATAGACTTGTAGTGTGTAAGACAAGACAAGATAGACTCGTAGTGTGTAAGACAAGACAAGACAGACTCATAGTGTGTAAGAGAAGACAAGATAGACTCGTAGTGTGTAAGACAAGACAAGATAGACTCGTAGTGTCTAACACAAGACAAGATAGACTGATAGTGTGTAAGACAATACAAGATAGACTCGTTATGTGTAAGACAAGACAAGATAGACACGTAGTGTGTAAGACAAGACAAGATAGACTCTTAGTGTATAAGACAAGACAAGATAGACTTGTAGTGTACAAGACAAGACAAGATAGACTTGTAGTGTACAAGACAAGACAAGATAGACTTGTAGTGTGTGAGACAAGACAAGTTAGACTCGTAGTGTGTAAGACAAGACAAGATACATGTAGTGTGTAAGACAAGACAAGATAGACTCGTAGTGTGTAAGACAAGACAAGATAGACTTGTAGTGTGTAAGACAAGACAAGACAAGATAGACTCGTAGTGTGTGAGACAAGACAAGTTACATGTAGTGTAAGACAAGACAAGACAAGATAGACTCGTAGTGTGTAAGACAAGACAAGATAGACTCGTAGTGTGTAAGACAAGACAAGATAGACTCGTAGTGTGTAAGACAAGACAAGATAGACTCGTAGTGTGTAAGACAAGACAAGATAGACTTGTAGTGTGTAAGACAAGACAAGATAGACTCGTAGTGTGTAAGACAAGACAAGATAGCCTCGTAGTGTGTAAGACAAGACAAAATAGACTCGTAGTGTAATAGACAAGATAAGATAGACTCGTAGTGTGTAAGACAAGACAAGATAGACTCATAGTTTGTAAGACAAGACAAGATACACTCGTAGTGTGCAAGACAAGACAAGATACACTCGTAGTGTGTAAGACAAGACAAGACAAAATAGACTCGTAGTGTGTATGACAAGACAAGATAGACTCATAGTGTGTAAGACAAGACAAGATAGACTCGTAGTGTGTAAGACAATACAAGATAGACTCGTAGTGTGTAAGACAAGACAAGATAGACTTGTAGTGTGTAAGACAAGACAAGATAGACTCGTAGTGTGTAAGACAAGACAAGACAGACTCATAGTGTGTAAGAGAAGACAAGATAGACTCGTAGTGTGTAAGACAAGACAAGATAGACTCGTAGTGTGTAAGACAAGACAAGATAGACTCGTAGAGTGTAAGACAAGACAAGATAGACTTGTAGTGTGTAAGACAAGACAAGATAGACTCGTAGAGTGTAAGATAAGACAAGATAGACTCGTAGTGTGTAAGACAAGACAAGATAGACTCGTAGTGTGTAAGACAACACAAGATAGACTCATAGTGTCTAAGACAACACAAGATAGACTCGTAGTGTGTAAGACAAGATAGACTCGTAGTGTGTAAGACAAGACAAGATAGACTCGTAGTGTGTAAGACAAGACAAGATAGACTCGTAGTGTGTAAGACAAGACAAGATAGACTCGTAGTGCGTAAGACAACACAAGATAGACTCATAGTGTCTAAGACAACACAAGATAGACTCGTAGTGTGTAAGACAAGATAGACTCGTAGTGTGTAAGACAAGACAAGACAAGATAGACTCGTAGTGTGTAAGACAAGACAAGATAGCCTCGTAGTGTGTAAGACAAGACAAAATAGACTCGTAGTGTAATAGACAAGATAGACTCGTAGTGTGTAAGACAAGACAAGATAGACTCATAGTTTGTAAGACAAGACAAGATACACTCGTAGTGTGCAAGACAAGACAAGATACACTCGTAGTGTGTAAGACAAGACAAGACAAAATAGACTCGTAGTGTGTATGACAAGACAAGATAGACTCCTAGTGTGTAAGACAAGACAAGATAGACTCGTAGTGTGTAAGACAATACAAGATAGACTCGTAGTGTGTAAGACAAGACAAGATAGACTTGTAGTGTGTAAGACAAGACAAGATAGACTCGTAGTGTGTAAGACAAGACAAGACAGACTCATAGTGTGTAAGAGAAGACAAGATAGACTCGTAGTGTGTAAGACAAGACAAGATAGACTCGTAGTGTCTAACACAAGACAAGATAGACTGATAGTGTGTAAGACAATACAAGATAGACTCGTTATGTGTAAGACAAGACAAGATAGACACGTAGTGTGTAAGACAAGACAAGATAGACTCTTAGTGTATAAGACAAGACAAGATAGACTTGTAGTGTACAAGACAAGACAAGATAGACTTGTAGTGTACAAGACAAGACAAGATAGACTTGTAGTGTGTGAGACAAGACAAGTTAGACTCGTAGTGTGTAAGACAAGACAAGATACATGTAGTGTGTAAGACAAGACAAGATAGACTCGTAGTGTGTAAGACAAGACAAGATAGACTTGTAGTGTGTAAGACAAGACAAGACAAGATAGACTCGTAGTGTGTGAGACAAGACAAGTTACATGTAGTGTAAGACAAGACAAGACAAGATAGACTCGTAGTGTGTAAGACAAGACAAGATAGACTCGTAGTGTGTAAGACAAGACAAGATAGACTCGTAATGTGTAAGACAAGACAAGATAGACTCGTAGTGTGTAAGACAAGACAAGATAGACTTGTAGTGTGTAAGACAAGACAAGATAGACTCGTAGTGTGTAAGACAAGACAAGATAGCCTCGTAGTGTGTAAGACAAGACAAAATAGACTCGTATTGTAATAGGCAAGATAAGATAGACTCGTAGTGTGTAAGACAAGACAAGATAGACTCATAGTTTGTAAGACAAGACAAGATACACTCGTAGTGTGCAAGACAAGACAAGATACACTCGTAGTGTGTAAGACAAGACAAGACAAAATAGACTCGTAGTGTGTATGACAAGACAAGATAGACTCATAGTGTGTAAGACAAGACAAGATAGACTCGTAGTGTGTAAGACAATACAAGATAGACTCGTAGTGTGTAAGACAAGACAAGATAGACTTGTAGTGTGTAAGACAAGACAAGATAGACTCGTAGTGTGTAAGACAAGACAAGACAGACTCATAGTGTGTAAGAGAAGACAAGATAGACTCGTAGTGTGTAAGACAAGACAAGATAGACTCGTAGTGTCTAACACAAGACAAGATAGACTTGTAGTGTGTAAGACAATACAAGATAGACTCGTTATGTGTAAGACAAGACAAGATAGACACGTAGTGTGTAAGACAAGACAAGATAGACTCTTAGTGTACAAGACAAGACAAGATAGACTTGTAGTGTACAAGACAAGACAAGATAGACTTGTAGTGTACAAGACAAGACAAGATAGACTTGTAGTGTGTGAGACAAGACAAGTTAGACTCGTAGTGTGTAAGACAAGACAAGATACATGTAGTGTGTAAGACAAGACAAGATAGACTCGTAGTGTGTAAGACAAGACAAGATAGACTTGTAGTGTGTAAGACAAGACAAGACAAGATAGACTCGTAGTGTGTGAGACAAGACAAGTTACATGTAGTGTAAGACAAGACAAGATAGACTCGTAGTGTGTAAGACAAGACAAGATAGACTCGTAGTGTGTAAGACAAGACAAGATAGACTCGTAGTGTGTAAGACAAGACAAGATAGACTCGTAGTGTGTAAGACAAGACAAGATAGACTTGTAGTGTGTAAGACAAGACAAGATAGACTCGTAGTGTGTAAGACAAGACAAAATAGACTCGTTGTGTGTAAGACAAGAGACTCGTAGTGTGTAAGACAAGACAATATAGACACGTAGTGTGTAAGACAAGACAAGATAGACGCGCACTGTACAAGACAACACGAGATCCTGAACCTGCCATATCCTGAACATGAAATGCTTTAACCAAGTCTGATCTGTCTGAACATTGATGTATTGTTTTCAACGATGATTGTGATTCTCGACACCAGGTACTCCAGGAAGTCTTTCTTACGGAGCTGCAAACCCTGTAGCCGGATACGTAAGTATAACACTGTTACTACATATATATATATATATATATATATATATATATATATATATATATATATATATATATATATATATATATATATATATATATATATAATCATGTTGTGCTATTATGTCACATATGTAAGTAAAAAAGTAGAGGACCCTTTTCCACGCCTTAGGGCGTATAGAGCATATAGGGCTAGACCTATATTTTTATAGACCAATCGGCACAAGATGGGTGATGTGGTCAGTATCACGCCGGACGCCTTCACTTTCCCGGGACTGCACCTGGTACCCACTCAAGGCTGGGTCGACCTGGAAGCGAAGGTCATTTTTGAAAAAAGTCCGGCTCCTATGTCACATATGGCTTGTAGTCTGTTCCACCATTCTGTTATATCCTGTGCGGTTCAGTATCATGGACAGAATCAAGTGCAGCAGCTTTATCTCGTAGATACAAATGTAAATCTAAGCTTACCACTAAAGACATGAAACGAAAGTTAAATGCATCCAAGAACACATGTCTGAGAAAAATGAAATTGGATGCATTTAAAAGGAGTAAAAAAAAAAAAAATACACTTTAAATGTCTGAGCAAGCAGTTATAAGACAGAAGAAAGTGAGTGCTACATAGGACATACATAGGACTCCTGAGAAGAAACGAACATAGAATTACCTTACAGCATTAAAATGGGAAATATAGGCATTAGGGAGGCGAGGACGCCCAAAAGAAATCCTAAGACGAAAGTTGATGAGAGAGGCCAAAGCTGCTGAAGTGGATTCCATCCATGATATTGAACCTAATGTATATTATAGAAAAGGATGGAGGAAAAGACTGCCATCCCTATGTGACATAACAGGATAATGAGTGAATGAATGAATGAATGAATGAATGAATGAATGAATGAATGAATGAATGAATGAATGAAATCTAATCTCACAAGCTGCATGTTCTGTTGGCCTTATGTGGGTTCTTTACTTACTTTACACGATGGTCGACATCCTCACCTTGTGCTCTGCATATTTACAAAGGCTACCATACCATTCCTCCATTTACTGTCCTGTTCAATCTTTCCATATCATGAATTGTATCCAATCCAAATGCTGTCTCCACTGTCGTTAACGTTCTTCGCAGAAGATTTCTCTGGGATATTTTACATCACAGCCTTGTAACAATCACACTTTGGGTTGTCCATTGTTGCTTGTTTATTCATTGCACTTTCAGCACTTCAGCGAAGTTGAAGTCATTTCTCATATGAGCTCAGACGAGAGCTCTTGTTTCTCCACACCCATGCCTGTTTTTACTTGTGGAAGGGGTTGCCAGTGAAGCCTGTGTGAAATCTGAGTTGAAGAAAAGCATGTTTGGCTCACTGTAATTTTCTTAGGCATTGCTTTGAATCTGATATGAGAGCACGCCCTTCTGCTGTTTCCTTGTTCTCTGTATCAGAACTATCAGGGCTTCGACTGTAAACGTTTTTAAGGAAGATAGCTAGTGCAGCGTGCTCAACAACTGGCGCTGAGATATTGTAGCAAACTGTCATAAAATCAGTCAAATATATGTTGTAATCTCCACCCCTCGTTGGAGCATAGGCCATCAACCGTCTCACGCCATTCTGTTATGCTTTTTGCCATCTCATACAGCTCAATCTTATACTCCTCGTATTAAGCGCCCATATCTCTCTAATTTACTTGCGTAAGAGACCTGTTTGGTTGTGTGTGTGTGGTCGGGGGTTGGGGGGGGGGGGGGTAGGCAGCTACATGTGACGCAGTTCTTTTGGAAGTGCATGGGAATTTAGACGTTTGCATATTAATTGTATTTCCCAGGACAACAGTTTCTACAACTATGGCGGCCCTGCTACCGACTACTATTCACAGTATCCATACCTGTCGGCCAGCTCTGCCGTGACCCCCACTACCACAGTGCCTTCAACACAGACTTACCAACTCATCGATGCACCAACACCGACAACAGCGTCCACAGTTGCAGGTGAGCAGGGGCGACAGCAGAAGTTATGCTGTTATGGTTACCAGCAGTGATTGTGTGAAGGCCTGGGTGAATTAAGGCCTGGTTGTATGGAGGCCTGGTTATGTGGGTTGTGTGAGCGCCTGGTTGTGGGGAGTCCTGGTTTTATGGAAGCTTGGTTGTGTGAAGGTCGGGTTGTGTAGAATGTGGGTTGTGTGGACGCCTGGTTGTGGGGAGTCCGGGTTGTATGGAAGCTTGGTTGTGCGGAGGCCGGGTTGTGTAGAAGCTTGGTTGTGTAGAGGCTAAGTTGTGGGGAGGCCGGATTATGTAGAAGCTTGGTTGTGTAGAAGCCTGGTTTTGTAGAGGCTGTGTTGCGGAGAGCCTGGGTTGTGTGGAGGCCATGTTGCACGGAAGCCCAGCTCTGTTGCGAATACCTGCTTGTGTAAGGATGCCATGTTTGTGTGAAAGCCCGGTTGTGTGGAGGCCATATTGCACGGAAGCCAGGCTGTGTGGAAGCTATAGTTGGATGAAAATATGACTGTATAGAAGGCTGGTTGTGTGAAAGACTGGAATTCTCTTGAGTGTGAATTTTGTGTTGTGGCCATTTTCATCAAGAGATCCCTGAAGCTTTTGCAAGCTGAACTCGACAGAGCCTACCCACATGAGATAAAGCTTGGAGCATAGAACCGAAGGTCTATGAAATTATGACTCTGGCGTCCTACACCCACTGCGCCACTGCCGTAGAAAGTGTCTTGTGTTTGCTTGCTTACTTCAGGTGGAGTAAACAGAATAGATTTAAACAGATCTACTTTAGCACTAATGGTTAAACTACGTCAGTTGTTTAATACTGTTTCTCACTATATCGACTGGCCCTGGGTAAGTGTGAATGTCTATCGGTAGCTCTCTCTCTCTCTCTCTCTCTCTCTCTCTCTCTCTATCTCTCTCTCTCCCCCCCCCCCCCCCCCTCTCTCTCTCTCTCTCTCTCTCTCTCTCTCTCTCTCTCTCTCTCTCTCTCTCTCTCTCTCTCTCACTGTCACTAAGTTTACTGTTTACTCTATTTGTCCCTGTCACTGACTCTCATATCATCCGTATATATTCACCTGACTGTGCTTGTCTGTGCCTAAATCATACTTGTATTCTCAGCTCCAGATGCCAGCTACAACAACATGGCTAGTCCCTCTCCCTCGCTTAAAGAAAACGGTAAGAATGTGCTTGTGGTATTATGCTTGTCTTTCTTACTTGCTTTCTTCTTCTTCTTTTTCTTGTCATCATCATCATCATCATTATTATTACTATTATTATTCCTCTGCATCCTACTTCTTTCTTATTTGTTTTTATTATTCTTAGTAGTAATTCCTCCTCCTCCTCCTCCTTCTTCTTCTTCTTCTTCTTCTTCTTCTTCTTCTTCTTCTTCTTCTTCTTCTTCTTCTTCTTCTTCTTCTTTTTCTTCTTCTTCTACGCATTTGCCTTCTTCTTCTTTTTCTTCTTCTCCTCCTCCTTTTTCTTCTTCCTCCTCCTTATTCTTATTTTGCTGCTGCTAACTTGTTGCTGGAGCAGCCACCCCTCTCCCGCGTCACTTTAAAATTATGATTTTTTTGTATTATAATTAGTAGTCCTAGTATCACAAGTAGTGTTAGTAGACGTAGCAGAAGACCTGTTATTTCACACGTGAAGCCTTTTCTCATCTACATTATATTTCTACAGTGTGGCTCTCTATTGCAGTTGGTACCAGGGAATTCTCCTCAAATAACCAAAACATCCCATCTGTTGCTCTTTTATGAACCGCATGACCGCTTTCAGACTTCATCTTCTCATTTTTTCATGTGTAATTTTATCTTTTATGCCTTTTCCCTCGGCTCTTATAAGGCATCCGCTCTCTTACTCTTTTGCGGTAATTAGTTTAAATAAAGCTTCAAATTTAACACTGGTAGCATAAAGTTAGCCTCATCCTAGAACATGGCAGAAAAATTATTACTGTCTCCTTCTGATGTCTGTGAGTAGTTGTCTTCGGGCTTCCGCCTCTATCAAAACCTCTTGGTTGCTTTTTGTGTGGCTGTCCAGGGTATTTTAAGCATTGTTCTGTAAAACCACATCTCTGAGGCCTCAAGAAATTGTTTGGCCTGCCTACCGATTGTCCAGGACTTACAGTCATATGTTAAAACTGGATGTATGTGTGGACTTGTTATAGGAAGGAAAGTGAATGAGAACTTGGTCACAACTTTGGAGATTCGTGAGGAATAAATCGGGCCCCCAGAGGGAAAGGGCGGGGAGGGGGGGGGGGGCAGAGGTAGCTACCTGGATGTCAAGGATTGGGCAAGACAAGATCACAGATCTGATCCGTGATTTTAGTCATCATGACCACCCATGATTATCGGCAGAGCACACGATAATGATGAATGTAACACATCCACACTCAGTGTGTGTGTGTGTGCCTGCGTGTGTGTTTGTGTGTGTGTGTGTGTGTGTGTGTGTGTGTAAAAGCGCGCGCGTGTGTATGTGTGTGTGTTGAGCAGTCCGTGCATGCTTTTCAATTAGATTTCAAAAACGCGCATTCAGACGCCTGCAGCCAGTGATTGTTTTTGACATAAATCTCCATGGAAGACGCTCTGCCAACAAGCAGCAGAGCTTTGGTAATCTACTTCTTATGTTAGACATGGCAACCCGCCCTGCATTAATTATTGTAGCGCAGCGCTAGTTAATTGACCTGCCAACTCTGCGAGCTGTGTTTAAATCCTAAGTTAAGCGGGGATTTTACTTCAATCACGAACTGATGCCTGGTCGGCCGAGCTGTTGGCGTGGGAATTTGAGTAGTGTATACTATTCGAAAATAAAACTGAGCGAGGGCACTTTTGACGTGTGACTAGCTACAGTGAAGTCTCGTTAACATGTACTCGCTTAAGTCGAACACTTGCTTAAGGTGAACAAAATGGGTGTATTATTCACAATACGTCAGCTAGCGTCAAGGCTCTTGGAACTCTTAATAACCAGCTGTTCCTGTGTGTGTGTGTGTGGGGGGGGGGGGGGGGTTAGGGGCTGTGTGGTCTCGAGGCATGGTGTCCGCCTCGAGTGCTAGAGGTTCCGGTTTCAATCCCCGATAAGGGCTGGGATATTTATTTTTTACTTGGACTTCTAGTAATTCCCCTTGGTCTCTGGGTAGTGAGATCTGGCGCCTGTGTGCATTGTTGCTCACGTAAAAAATCCCTTGGCAGTTGGATATCTAAAATAATAGCCTAACGGCGCTGCCCGGGCAGAATGTTAAGTTACAAATGTATCCAAAGTATTTCAGGACCTCACCGGTGTTATAGAGCCCGTGCACTGTGCTGAGCTTCTTTGGACTTGAGTTAGAAGAAGAACGGAGCACTTATGGGTTACTACCCGTGTGTGCCATGATGTTGATCCGTTGTTCCAAACTTCCAACTGTTCCTGTAGTTCAAAATATGGCTCTATGGCAGTGGCCTCCAACCTTTTTTAGGTCACCCCTCCCCGAGTACATGGCATAAACCCACATTCCCTTTGTGTATATGGCAAGACCCCCACACACCCTTGAGTATATGGCAAGATCCCCCCCCCTCCCCTGCTCGAGTATATCACAAAACACCTACGCCCCCCCCCCCACCCCCCTGAGTATATTGCAATACGCCTCTTCCCGCCTTTTTATTTTAAAAAAAAAAAAAAATGGCTTGTAATTGTTCGGCCCCTGCCCTTCCTTCCTGGCACCACGCCTACTTGTATGTTTTTTTTTTTTTTTTATAATTGTTTTTTCATATCGCCGTGGCACTTCATATATTGCAACAATATTTCAGTTTCCGAGACAAGTTGCTGTTTACTAGCCAATCTTCCTTGCCTTCTTGCAGAATGTCAGTGTTTCTTTTCTTCTTAACACAGTTGGTAGTTTGCCATAAACCCGATGCCCTGGTCGGGTATCTAGGAAAGAAAACCTTCCTCGGGTAGAAAGAATCTAGACAGAGAAAGTAAAATTGCTGACAAGCATATGGTGCAGAGATGCAGTCTGCAGGAAGTAAACCTACCCATGGGCAGACAGTGCCTGAGTTTAAATCTACCTAGAGTTGGTAAACTACCAGCAGATAGATGGTGACTGAGATAGAATCTATCTGGAGAAAGAAAACCTGCTCGAAGGCAGATGCCTTCCATGTTTGATGGAATCGGCATAGAGAAATACCAGAGAGGTCATCTGTCTATAGAAAGAAAACTACTAGCGGATATATTGTGACTGAGATGGCATCTGTCTATAGAAAGGAAACTACTCGCGGATATGTTGGGACTGAGATGGCATCTGTCTATAGAAAGGAAACTACTAGCAGATATATTGTGACTGAGATGGTATTTGTCTTTAGAAAAAAAAAACTGTGAACCTCTTTTAACTACAGTGAAGAAAACCTGTTCGAGGGCAGCTGTGATTTATTTGCAACTATGAGCCGGTTTTAACTACAATAAAGAAAAACTATCCACGAGCAGCTGGAATTTATTGGCAACGATGAAACACTTTTAAATACAGTGAAGAAAACCTATTTGCGGGCAACTGTGATTTATCGGCAACTGTGAACCTCTTTTAACTACAGTGAAAAGGCGGGAAAAGTAATGGTATGGACATGTTATAAGATCTAACAATACTACAGGACTTAGTAGAGGTAAAGAGGAGGAGAGACAGACCAAGAAAGAACTGGATAAAGAACCTGACTGACTGAACAGGCCGTAGGCATACAACCACGAAGTCCATCGCATGGCCGACAGAGATGGAGGAATACGATCTGTCAGTCAACAGCACATGATGACCCAACGACACGCCGCGTTACGGGATGATGATGATGGCTCGTGGACAGGTGGTGTCTGAGATTAAATGTCTTTAAAAAAGATTCTGCTGGACAGATGCTGCTTCAGATGTAATCTTTCTCGAGAGTAAATTTGACATGAAAGAATTCGAAGTACAACACATTGATCTCTCTTGTACATGACTATCTCTGGTGCACCCCCGTCAAGAATAGAAAGGCAAGGATTGGGGGGGGGGGGGGGGTGCGGTGAAGTGAAGAGAAAGAAGTACAAGGTGCGTCTTTGTTTTGGAAACAAAGGCTATCCAAATGTTGGCAGTCCTAGCTGGTAGAAACCCCTTCCTCGATCCACCGTTGAAGACAACCAAGAGCCGGTGGTAATAGGATTTTCAGTTAAGGCACGATTCCCCTAATGCTATCGTTGCTGATAATGTAGCAGACATCGCCCTTGTATAGCTTCTCGCCTGCAAGTTTCTGCTGCGCTAGCGGATCAAGACATCATCCGCTTGGTAGGTCTGTTGCTGCCAGCTGTTCATAATACATCACATTCAGCAGAAGGACCGTGACGTTTGCAGGTGACGAAGAAGCTGGTGAAAATCCTCACGATTTACATCTTCAGGGGGAAAATACGAAAACGTAAAAGAAAACCCGTTACAACGACAACGGCGGGGGAAAAAATGCACTGAAATTAATTGGCATTTCTGACTTTTTGGCAACTCGTGGAAACGGTGAGCGCAGGCAACATTTTTTGGGTGTTCCTTTTTTCAGCAGAATATTTCTGGGGTTTAAACTACAGACGGCAATGTCAACTAGCTGGCAGTTTCACATAATTAGAAATCACTCCTGGCTGCTGCATTTGACGTTTTTACCTGCTTCTTCTTCTTCGCGATCACCGGCTTTAAACTACGGCGGGAAGTTATGGTTGTTCGTTCACTACTGGACTCTAGTCCTGTTCCAGAAACTGCGTATTGCATGCAGACTGTTGATTCCTTGCCTCTCCAGCGGATGTACTCCGACATCGAAGGAAGCTCTCATTTAGTCGACTCTTACGACATGCTTTTAGGCAGTCTATTCTTGTTTTTACCACAATGGGGTCACGGAACCCACACGGGGAGTTTTAGTTGTGGAAATTGTATTATTGAAAATGATTATTTCTGCCTGCCTAACCACCTTAGGGGAAGTAAAAACAAATAACAAGCCATCAGTTGAAGACATTCAAAGGTCTCGCGATGATCATCAGGTCGACCATCGAAGACATCTAATCGCCTTGAAAATATAAAGTAGATTATTGCAAATCTCAGCACTCCTTGTAAAGCTAAAGTCGAATACTGAAGACATCCAGACGCATTGTAAGGATATATTTGGCTACTGAAGATATCCAAACGTACTGTAAAGATAAAATCGAATACTGAAAACACCCAGGCGTATTATGTTGAATAATAATCGATGGTTAAGCACCAGCAAGGAGATCAAAGTCAGAGTTTTTAGAGCGTGCATCTTCCCTGTAGTAACACACGGATGTGAGCCGTGGACTATCTCGCAGTCATTAAGGAAGAAAATAAGAGCTTTTGGACTTAAGGGATATAGAAAGATTATCAGAATACCATAGAACCGGGGGAGTGTGGAAGGGGGTGGGGAGAAACACTGACATCCTAAAAGATCTGAACGTGATGGAAGATGGGCTAGTAAACTGCATCTTGTCTCAGAAGCTGAAATATTGTGGCCATATCAAGCAACACGGCGGATTGTAAAAACAAATAGTAGTAGAGGGCATGGTACCAGCAAAGAGGGGCAGGGACCGACCAGCACGGAGCTGGGCACGTGCATGAGAGACACCCTGGGTAGGAAAGTGTACGAGGCGGGAGCGCTTGCGAGAAACCGAGTTTCTGACGGAGCCGAGCTTTATTTTTTAAAAATTACATTAGCCGTCGATTCAGTCTTAAGTAGGTACCAGGTGCAGTCCTGAGAAGTAAAGGCGACCGGCGTGATGCTGATATCATCTACCGAATGTGATTGATCTATAAAATGTAGGTGTAGCCCTATATGCCCAATACACTTAAGGCGTAAAAAAGGGTCCTTTACTTTACTTTACTTTGTCTTTAAAGATAGTAACAAGCTTATGAGGGAAATGCAAAAAGTAAAGGATACGGTTTAGTCCTCGGCCCATCAGGTGACTAGGTCCCACACAGCACTCGATGAAGAAAGTAACAGTCTGTTTACACACCAATGGCGCACTGGTATATGAGGTTTACTCATATTTGTAAAGACCAAATACGAGTGATATGGTGAACATCACACTGGCCGCCTTTATTTCCTACAGCACTTCCTGGTACCCATGTCGATCTGGGAGCTGTCGCCATGTTTGTTTCCAAGTGCAATGCTTACCTTACTTTAAACTTGCATTAACCTGTAACCATTAGAAACAGATTGTGTTCGTAGATTCATTTTGTTTTTAATTTCCTAATTGTTGTTGTTTAAGGACGAGTGTCCCGATCGAGGGGAAGGAGTAGAACCCAGCCGTCCCCCGGCCCGGAGTCTGACCTGGAGCGAGTGTTTGTCTGGGATTTGGATGAGACCATTATCATCTTTCATTCTTTGCTCACGGGATCATACGCTCAGAGATACACGAAGGTAAGTCCACGTCTGCATTCTGTGGTTACCGCCTTTGTGGATTTGTCTCTGGTATAGTTTGCCGTGTAAAATCACATGAAAGATTTATCACAGTAAAAAAAAAAAAACAACCCACAATCATTATTGTCCTCCAGATGTGCCATTAGGGCTGATAGTTTGTGATTATGTTTTATCCAGAGTATTTGTGTTAATATCGTGAAAGAAATCCAGTCCTGCAGCTTCGGCCTCTCGTCAACATTCGCTTTAGGCTTTCTTTTGGATATTGCTCCATTTGTTTCTCCATTTAAAGGCTTGTTTAGTGATTTTTGTCTGGATTCTCCCCAAGATGATTTCAGTATCTTGCCATATTATTTGACTTAAACTTGTTGATTCTAGCAGTTGCCTCTCATGTCTTAGCCTTTCTTGGATTCACCCCATTTAGTGTTTAGCATTTTCCTTAGGTGTTTGTTTTCGACTGCAGTCAAGGTTCGTTCCGTGTCTTTAGTGGTTCTCAAACTTTCACTTGCATACGTTAAACCTGAAATAACGTTAGAATTGAAAATACGTAACTAGGTTTTAGCACTGTATAATTTTTAGTTCCTCATTTTGTTGTGGTTTTTAAAAGTTGCCTTTGTCTTGCCAAGGCTATCATATTTTGGGTACCTTTTTAATCATTCTTCTTCTTCTTCTTCTTTTTCTTCTTCTTCTTCTTCTTCTTCTTCTTCTTCTTCTTCTTCTTCTTCTTCTTCTTCTTCTTCTTCTTCTTCTTCTTCTTCTTCTTCTTCTTCGCGTTCACCATGTGTAAATTCCGGTAGAAAGTTCAGTTTTTTCATCCACCTCTAGACGTTAGTCTTGTTCCAGAACCCAAGTGTTGCATACACATCCGTTTTACAGATCTGACTTATAAATATGCGGATTGTTGGTTCCTTGCCTCTCATGCAAGGTTTTATATCAGCTAATAAAGAGTCTGCGAGAAATATTTTTTCTAACCTTCCATGGCAGGAATTTATTGTATAAGATGTTCTTCGTTTGAAAAATATGCACTTGTTGCTTTTCCCATTCTGTTCTGAAGTAGCAATACGTTTGTCTTAGAGGCAAGAAACCAACAATCAGCATACAGTTAAGTAAGATCTGTTAAACGGATGTGCACGCAACGTTCAAGTTCATGGAACAAGACTCAAGTCCAGAGGTAGACAAATAACCAGGACTTTTCTCCGGAGTTAACAGTCAGGGAACGCGAAGAAGAAGAAGAAGAAGAAGAAGAAGAAGAAGAAGAAGAAGAAGAAGAAGAAGAAGATGAAGAAGAAGAAGAAGAAGAAGAAGAAGAAGAAGAAGAAGAAGAAGAAGAAGAAGAAGAAGAAAAAGAAGAAGAAGAAAAAGAAGAAGAAGAAGAAGAAAGAAAGAAAAAGAAAGGAAAAGAAGAAGAAGAAAAAGAAGCAGAAGCAGAAGTAGCTTCTGGCAATAAATAAGGGTTCTTTACTTTACTTGACGTGTTTGCCCCTAAAGTTGAGATACGAATAAAGCTAAGAGAAAGGGAACTGTTCCTCGCACTTCTTACCCAGTTAACTTGAAATCCTCGACATTTGAGGCCTCTCCGGTATCAGTCTGCAGTGAGATCACAGATACCTGCTTTCTTCCCAGACTGTACTCTTGTCGTCTTCCATTATTGCCAGCTTGCAAACGAATTCCTCGCACGCCATTTTGATCCCAGCTGCATGACCGTGTCGTTTCAGTCTGTTTATAATACAGAGCAGGAAAGAGCATAATCACGCCGACTATTGTATAATGCTCTGTGGGTTTGTTTGTTGACAAGCGGGTTCTAATCTTGATAAAGCTGTACGGATCATCGGACGGGCTGTACCTATGTCTGTATCGTTGCCGGTGACCCCTAACCTTTGAGGTAACATCAACAAAGCGATAGTTTACCTGACTCTCAGCCAGCCTCGGGGAGAGTGGTGGTATCCCCGTGGATAGACGGATGCTGCCGGCAACAAGGCTTTTTGTTCGAATCTACATCAGGCTCCCAGGCCGACTCAGCCTGTGAATTTTACCCGGAAATATCATGGGAAGTAAAGGCATCCCTAATGCCTGCTACCTTTCTTCTTCTTCTTCTGCTTCTTCTTCTTCTTCTTCTTCTTCTTCTTTCTTTCTTTCTTTCTTTCTTTCTTTCTTTCTTTCTTTCTTTCTTTCTTTCTTTTTCTTCTTCTTCTATTTCTTCATGTATGTTTTGGGTTCGACATATTAGCCTTGTGATTTAGATACATTTTTCCCGTTCGAGGCCTCATTCGGGTGAAAAAAAAGGGCGAGGGGGCGGGGGGTGGGGTGTAGATCCAGTGTCTCCGTGACAAGTATGTAGGTAAAAGGCCTCTAGTAATGGAGTCTCCTTCGAAATTGCAATGCCTACGTCTGTGAAACGAGGAACCAACACTGTATACAAGTCAGCCAGATCAGTAAACGGATGTGCACGCAAAACTCAAGTTCTGGAACAAAATCAAAGTCTAGAAGTGGACGAGCAGCCACAACATCCCGCCGTCATTTGCAAGACAGCTAAATAGAGGAGAGAAACATAAAGTGCAGAGGAGAAGTGATAGAGGAGAGAGAAAGAGGGGAAGGGGAGAAATCATGAAATGGAGAAAATGTAAGAGAGAAAGAAAGAGATTAGGGAAGGGATATAGGAGTGAGTGACAGATAGACAGAACAGAAAAAGGTGACACGAAAGAAAAGAATAAGACAGAGAGAGAGATTGTGTGAGAGAGAGAGAGAGAGAGAGAGAGAGAGAGAGAGAGAGAGAGAGAGAGAGAGAGAGAGAGAGAGAGAGAGAGAGAGAGAGAGAAGCTTACTGACAGTAAAACAATTAGAAAAGAATTTGAAAAAAGAGAAGGAAGGCGAGAGAGATTAGAGAGAGAGAGAGAGATAGAGAGAGAGAGAGAGAGAGAGAGAGAGAGAGAGAGAGAGAGAGAGAGAGAGAGAGAGAAAAGAATAAGACACAAAGAGAGAAAGTCCTTGAGGTCATCATACACCAGCACCAACACCTTACACACACTGGTGCCCGCTATGTATAGAGTAACCCCTGTTCTTTCCTCCCCTTTAGCGTTATCTCTACAAACGGGCAGATAAGCGTGAGCTGTTCTACCCTGCTTGACACGTGTATACACGGCACCGCGCAGCGTTGCCGTTAGCCGATAAGGAATCCCTTGGAGAAATAAGCAGAGAGACCAGAGTTTTTGCCCCATTAAGACGAGTGGTTGTCTCAAGTAGATTGGCCCAGCTGTGGTGTACCGCGCTGGGTTGAACTTGTTCTGTGTTCATTGTTCTCCACGGCTGGGAGTTTAACTGTATTTGTCTAGTTAGTGAAGTACACTAAAGGCTCCGTTACCATGCTAGTAGGCGTATTGGGCAAATGGGTGAGACTTATATTTTTCAAACAAGTCTGCACTCTGTGGCTGATGTGGTCGACCTCACGCCGACCGCCTTTACTTCCTAGGACTTTCAACCTTCAGATCAATGTTCTTCTTCTAGAAGACCAATCGTCACTATCGTTTTCTGCAAGATCTTTCGTCATATCGTCTTATGGAAAACCAATCTTCACTATCGTCTTCTAAAAGATCTTTCGTTATATCGTCCAATGGAAGACCAATTGTCACTAACGTCTTCTGAAAGATTCATCGTCTTATCGTATACTGAAAGATCTATCGTCATATCTTCTTTTGAAAGATCTATCGTCAGTATCTTCTTCTGAATGACCTATCGTCGTTTTCTTTATCTTAAAGACCTATCGTCATTATCTCCTTCCGAATAAAAGACCTATCATCTTCAGTATTTCTTATTTTAAAACACCTGTCATCACCATCATCTTCTTTTTTTTTTTGAAAGACCTGTCATCATCATTATCTTCTTCATTTCTTCACCTTCGTCTTTTTTTTTTTTTTTTGAAAGACCTGTCGTCACTGTCATTTTGTTCTTTTAAAAGACCTATCATCGCAATTATCTTGTTCTTTTGAAAGACCTTTCAGCCCATCATCTCCCCGTCTCAGAACATATTCGGGGAGATAAGTCATCCATCCATGATCTGATTGTGACCACACCATGCAGTAAACTTCCCTGTTTAAACTAGTCTTGGCGTACTGTATTTCGCAAATGCCAGACTGGCAACCACACACGGACCTTTTACTTTTTCCATAGCTTTTTCTGCTTCTTCTCCTTCTCCTTCCCCTCCTCCTCCTCATCCTCCGTCTTCTTCTTCTTCTTCTTTTCTTCTTCTTCTTCTTCTTCTTCTTCTTCTTCTTCTTCTTCTTCTTCTTCTTCTTCTTCTTCTTCTTCTTCTTCTTCTTCTTCTTCTTCTTCTTCTTCTTTTCTTCTTCTTCTTCTTCTTCTTCTTCTTCTTCTTCTTCTTCTTCTTCTTCTTCTTCTTCTTCTTCTTCTTCTTCTTCTTCTTCTTCTACTTCTTCTTCTTCTTCTTCTTCTTCTTTTCTTCTTCTTCTTCTTCTTCTTCTTCTTCTTCTTCTTCTTCTTCTTCTTCTTCTGCTTCTTGGACTTTTTAATGTTTCAGCTACTAGAACTACGTATCAGTCATTTTCTCCTCGAATGGATCTCTATAGCCTTTTTACAACGAACCGTAGTATTTAAGTGTAGCAGACGGGCCCCCGAACCAACAAAATAAAACACCCTGGCCTCATCTTTCTGTTATACCAAGATCTGGTCCTTTCATTGATTGAGTATGCCCTGGCGATCTGTACTCTTAGCCAGACTCAGTTAGAGAGACTGGAAAAGATACAAAACCAGACCATGCGCACCTGGGTGCACTAAAGATACAGCATGCAGAGCAGTGGCGGTACCTCCTACGTTTTCCAACAATGGAAGCTAGAATGAGGTTTGTCAAGTACACACCTACCTCCGAGTCAGCGTGCCTAGACACAACACCCACTGCACAGTGAAACCAGGAGGGAAAGGCTAGCAGATTAAAGAGATAAAAATCATGGATGGGTCAGGCCCAGGATATTATACAAGAGGTTTTTACGCTT